AGGAGGAGATGAGTGGATGGCAAATCATGGACAGTTCTTTGGGCATGCTAAAATTAGTGTCTCAACAGTTTTCAATGCCTTTGTTTTTTTCTCCTTTTTTTTCCTTAAATTTAAACAAACAATGCAAAGGAAGTACATGCTATTGTGTATGGTCTTTACATTTTTACAGGTATTCCAATAAAAATAATTTCTTTCCACATAAAGCTTTGAATTTGTTTGAATATACCATTAAAGCCACATTAAGTGTGCTGTATTTAATGTTCTTTCTAATCGAATATTTCAGTTCAAATACTTGTGCCTATTGAGACATAAAATTAACATGGGGTACTTTTTTGGTTTTGTTTACTAAATACAAGTCAAATAAACATGCTAAATCAGATCACGCTCTATTTAGGGCATTGGAAAATTGTCCAGAAAACCCACATCTCTGCTTTAACGTGAATAAGAACGCTTTTTTTTAAACTTCTAAAAAAGTGGAAATTGAAAAAAATCTCCTATATCTGATCTGAGTATGAGGGGAATGGAAAGGGGGAAAAAAAGAAAAATCCAGGTGGCTGCCTCTATCAGATAAGGCCATTGTAAGATATTAAACTTGTTCTTTATAATTTACAACGCCATATAGTGAATTTAACATATGAACCACCACTTCTTCTGTAGGTGTAGAGAGGGTGGCTGGCTTAGAATATTCGCCACTTTGAGGAAGAGAAAACAAAAGGTCACAATTAACCACCCACTTACTTTCACTATAAAATTAATATTCATGCACAGATACTGAAGCTTTAAGTTCTGACTTTATGTAACAGCCTTTATTTATAATCCTTCCCAGAAATAGTCTGTCAAACATTTTTGCTGGGACTTAATTTGTACAAATCTCTTTCACGCAAGTCCTATATTTTAGGCCTAAATGATATAGGATTATCACCACCTAAATACCAAGTGAATCAAGGATACTGAAAAGTTAATAGAACATTAAATATAATTTCATGGTAAATGGCCCAGTAATTTTCAGTCTGCAGCACCCAGACAAGTTGAAGTAGCATTGGTATAGTGATCACCACAATCCTTTCCTTGATTGTCCTCCATTTACATCAGAAACTCATTTTCATATCCCATTTTTGCATTTAGGAGAGCCAGTAAAAACAAAACTCCACCCTACAAACTTATATAATAATAGTCTTTATTCAAGTACAGATCTCTAAATCAGGTGTTCCTGTATAGTCTGCATAGACATCATCTTTGCCCATTTGCTGACATCACTATCCCTCAAATTCGCTTCTGAAACTTGCAGTCCCTAGGTGGAGCTGGGCAGGACCACACCCTTATAACACTGCCCCCTACATAGGGAGGCTCCATCCCAGGAGAAAGAGAGACCAAACTAAATTTAAGGAAACATGCTGCCAAACAAGAGAATGGCTACTGGCGCTGTAGAGTTTTTCATAGGCTCAATGGAAGTTTGCATCCAATATCTGCCCAATGATTTACTGGGATTGACCATCCACCTACCATCAAGCTTCAGGCACATTATTTAAGGAAGCTGGCAAAGACACCTGATGCGCAAACCATCTGTAGCGCTCCTGCTGTAGCTCATAAACAACTTATTCTGTTCCTCACAAAGCCTTTTTGAAAAGCGTTTGCATAATCAATATATGAAAATGTTCCTCCCCTTTATGATATGGTTGCACAGGTCCTGACCGCCATTTATAACTTGCTCTAAACTGCTCAAATAGTGAAGATTTTAGGGCAGTCTCAAAGAAGAGAACTAAATGCGTCATGATACAATTCTACAATACAAAAAGCCTAAGGAATATTACAATCTGTTTCACTAATTTCCTTTTAAAATGCTGTATAGAAAAACAAGCTTGTTACACCAAACTCCACCTATACATATACCAGAAAAGTGCATAAAACTCAATTAATTACATAACATAGTGGTGCTCAAATGGCCAGCTGTGTGGGCCTGATCCCACTGACAGGTCCATAGGCCTGATCTGGCATGCCAGCCCAGCTGTGTGCCCACCCCAACAACATGCACAGCTCAACCTATGCACTGCCCTCAAGGCATGTTGGTGCAATCTAGCGCACAGAGCCAGACTGGCCCATGGGTCTGGAAATTTGGCAGCAGGGGAGCTACAATTGATGCTGCAAGGCCAAATTTTCAGACCCATGGGGAAGACACAATGCCAGTCCCAATTTCTTTGCTGGTGCTTACATTTTAACAAATTACAGGACAAGGGTTTGTTTTTGCCAGTATCTTTTATTGGACCAACTGTATAGTTGGGGCAGAGATTAAACAATTAAATGTACTCTCTGACTAACATCTCTACCAATTATACAGTTAGTCCAAAAAACAAATCACCAAAAAAACATTGCCTCTTTTATATTTTTTGGACCACTGCAGTTTTGACAACATCTTAACACTGTTATAGCAAACATCAGTTACCTGTGTATCAGTTAAGCACATAAATTACTTAATTGCATAGCATCTTGCAGTCCCACTGTCTGCTTTGTCATGATAATCGTACTCTGTTTACCTGCTAAAAAAACTAGCACTAGAAACACTGAAGGGGAAAACAGCTGTCAAAGGGCTGCTCTTGGAAACCTTGAAAACAACAGGAAAAAGCTAATCATTTTCAGGGTTCTGTCTCCTCTCAGCCTCAAGGATTCTAGCAGCAGCCAGGAACTGACAGTAGTTAGTCAGTTTTTAGTGCTCCTAAAACCACAGCTATGACAGCTCACATTAAGTGTGGTTAAGTGCATACTCTAAGAAAGCACAGCCATTTTTCAGTTCTCAGGTTTAAACAGAGTACCACATATTTCTTAACAAATAGAGCAAAACTAGCCTGCAAGAGGAAATTATGTGTATTTCAGAAACTCAAATGCTCTGATACCTTGAATAAAATCCTGGCATCCTTGAAAAGTTAATGGGAGTTTCCCCTAGTACAATCGTAGACAACTGAACTCCTATGGACATCAATGGGAGAAGGACCAAGCTCACAACATACTGGGGTTTTGTGCTTCATATCTCCCAAGGACAAGAATTTTAGATCCTTGCTTCTGGGGGAGGAAGAGCATTTTAGAGGACATGGAACTGGTTACTATTTCAGAAACCTGCTCCTGCTCATTTCTACCCAGGAGAACTTTTGCAATCTTTTCTCTGATGCCTGATGAAGTGTTTTTGTACCCTAAAGCTTGCAATTAAAGAGTTCTTTTTTTTTTGCAAAGATCTAGTGGATCTAATAAAAAATACCACCTCTACCATGAGTCCTGATCGCTTTTTCCTCTAGACCAATACAGCTACAACCTGGATACCTACTCATGAAGCACATTTTACCACAGTTTGAGTGTGAAACGGTGCAAGACACATTCTTTAACTTCTCACTTGGCTTTCATTAAAGTTAATGCAATGAAATAAGCATGTACTGCTAAGTTTTTGCATGAAGCCAAGGCCAAAAACATTTACTACATTGTTCTTCCTTGTGCTGAAGACTGAGTGACAAGAATAGATGATAACTGCAACCATCAACATTGTTTCTGTGCTCACAATTTACAGCTGAGGGAAAGAAGTAGAAAAAGAGTTTAGTCCAGGTAGGATCTCTCATATATAAGAGTTACTAGATCAGAACCATATTTCAGAGCTTTTCTATTAGTTATCTTCCTGTGCACATCACTAGGGAAAGAAAGGGAGGGAATAAACATTCTCTTCCACTCCCCTACCAAAGCAGGTGGAGAGCCCAAGCACAAGACACAAATCTCCCATCTCCTCTACACCTTCCTTTCCTAGGTGCTGTATAAAATCCTTCTCAGACTAGTGTGGGAGGGGAATGGATATATTACCCCCCAGTCATCCCTGCCCCCAGAGGGCTTAGACATGTGAGATTCAACAATAATGTATCATTTCACTGTCTACATCCCAGGGAAGGGATTTGTTTTAGAAAAAAGAAAGAGCACATATAGTATCCTCCTCACTGCAGCACAGATACAGCTTCTGGTAGGACCAAGGGGGAGGGAGTGGGGGAAGAAGCTGACTTAGTATTATATTAATATATGTTCATGCTCATTCTCTTCCTATTTTGATTAATAACAGGAGCACGGTATTAATGCCTTGACATTTCGGGGGGGGGGGGGGCAGACCAGGTCATGGCAAGGATGCAGGCAGTAAATGACATAGGTAATGCTCAACCTTTTGGCCACATCAGGTTAAAGATCTAGAGCTTGATCAGATCTTCTGTGCCAGGACTGGGCCCAGGAGCCCACAACACCTGTGCCTGGCCCCATATACAGGGCTTGGGGCCCCACATCCCAATGCTGCCTCTGTCCTACCCTGCATGCCAAGATTGGGACCCCGGGGCCCTGTGCTGCCACCCAGCCCCATACGTGGTATCGGGGCTGCTTCTGTCTAGCCCCACGTGGTGCGATTTGGATCTTGGAGCTGTGCCACCTCTGCCTGGCCCCACAGGTGTGGATGGGGGCCCCAGATCCCAGCACTGCTTCTGCCCAGCCTCACGTGCTGGAATTAGGACCCTGGGGTCCTGCGCCACCTCTGCCCAGCCCGTGTTGCCAGCTGTCATGATTTTTATATAAGTGACATGTAAAACAAAAAAAAGGGCCAAGTTTGTCACCTTCCCCAAATGCAAACTTTAAGAACAACACCAAAAACCATGAGAGTTAACAAGACAGCAGCCCTATACACAGGGCCAGGACGGGGACCCAGGTCCCTGTGCCACCTCTGCCTGGCCTGATCCACAGCATCCCAACGTCACTTCCATCCAGCCCACACACTGGGACCAGGGCCCTGCACCACCTCCGCCCAACCCCAGATCCCACTGCACCTTCCATCCAGGCCCACGTGCTGGGATCAGGCCCCCAGACCCCCGCACTGTTTCCTCCCTCCCATCCAGCACCCTGCGGTCCCGAGGCCTGTGCCGCCTCCAGGACCGCTCCTCTTGCCTGCCACCCACTCCGCAGCCCCAGGTCCTCTCCCGCGGGCAGCGGCTACTCACAACTGCACCATCCACTGGCCGCGCAGCACCAGGCTCCAGTTGGCGGCGCCCAGCACCTGCACGCGGCTGCGCGCCGCCCCGGGGCTGCCCGCCGCGCCATGGGGC